CTCTGTCAGAGCCCTCCACACAGATCAGGCAGACGGAGTCGGAGAGCTTCATCAACTTTTTCACTCTCTTCACTTCCGAGAAGCTCTGAGCACTTTTATCATACTCTTCTCTGAAGAACTTCTGCACCTCAGCAGGCTTAGTGAGACTCTCTCGCTCCTTCAGCTGCTTCAGCAAACCTTCAAACTGACCCCGCAGAAGATTCAGAACCTCCTCCGTGTTTGGGATTTGCTTAACCTGGATTATTTTAGCTTTTTGTGATTGAGCATTAGCAGACTCCTGGCTGTGGTCAGTGTTTTCTGACTGAGGCCTGGGAGAAGTAGAGGTAGAAGCTTCAGAAGCTTCATTCTTTACCTTATAGCTATCTTTATTTTCAGACTCCAATTTGATTTTTTTAGTGTTGCTTGGGACCTTGATTAGCATGATTTTAAACACTTTCTTATTAAGCTCATCAACGTTGTTTGACATTAAAAAAACAGTTTTCCTTCCCCCCACTTCCTCAAGAGCAACGTTCTTTTCAAAAATACTTCCTTTGAATCGGCCATCATCCTTCAGTGCTGTTTGAAGATCTTCTCCTTTTATTCCATACACACAAACATGGGAGGAGTTGGGTGCTAACTTTGAGTTTTCCAGTATGTTTACTATGCCTTCCTTACCCTTTGTTTCAACTTTAAATGTTACAAAGTCTTCTTTTTCCTTGTTTAGTATTTTGCTGTTAGCTTGACTCTGCTGGACACTGCTGGATCCTGATATGAAGTTCACCCTCAGCTCCTCATGGCTGTCAATCAGACAGCAGGGGAAATGTGTGCTCACGACAGCACCATCTTCTCTTGCAATGACTACATTCCTTTTATCTTTTTTAGCAGTAAACACCCTGTGAGTGTCCAGAGCCTCAAGGACAGTCATTCTGTCCCTGCAGTCAACTGTATATGATGTATTTTCCAACAGAATCTTGAACGAATGCTTCTTTTCAGCATCTCGTTTTTCCTGTACCTCGTCCTGTAAGACAAACACTTTTAGGTAAGCATTAAACTAAACTATTACAGCACATAAGGACAGTTGTCACAGGTTTTTGTTTCACCTGGGTTCCCCCACTGAGCTCTCCTCCTTTATAACAAAGCAAGTGTAGCTAATGAAATGCTGCTGCATTGAAGTTTTGGACATATACCTTCAGACAGTGAGGCTCACAATCAAATGGCTTTAAACAGAAGGAATATACTCACACTAAAATGAGAATATTAAACAGAATATTTTCCCAGTACAATTTCCACCTTGTTAATTGTTTACATGCTGATGACCCAGAAAATGTCAGATGAAAAAATTTGAATTTCACACAAATAAATTGTGACAAGTGGTTGGCAACAAATATGATTCATTGTGTTGATGCAACATTTTTTATTTGCATGTAACTAAATTCAAAAAATGAATATATTTAAAAAATATTTTTGATAAGGATATGGACTGTAGAGCATTATGATGGTTTACGTGGAAAGCCAGTGATTATTCTGCTAACATACTTAACCCTTGTGTGGTGTTGGGGTCTGCGGGACACATTTTCAATGTTTACCATCAGAAAAATGATGCGATTTATTGTTATTTAACCACAAACGTCTTGTGCTTTGCTCATTTTCTGTGAAGAACATATAAACGAATACATTTTCAGTGACTTCACACTGTACAGAACAACCGTCAGAAGCTGAAGTGAGTGTGAGATGCTGTTGAATACGTTATGCCTGACTTCATTACCTTGAACAACTATAATGTGTGTGTGTGAGACAAACAGAGAGAGAGAGAGAGAGGCTTCTGTGTGAGCAGCAACCTGGGGAAGGTTTTCTGCTGTATTATTAACGCCTGAATACAGGCCTTCCTTACCGAACACAGCGGCTTGAGTAAAGGACAAACTGGCTTTCTACCAAATCATCGCACTACTGACCACATTTACACCCTACACACCCTAATCAACCAACATATTCACCAACAAAATAAGAGAAAAGTCCTTGCATGTTTTATAGATTTTAAAAAAGCATCTGATTCTATTTGGCAAGAAAGTCTATATTACAAAATTCTCCAAATCGGTGTCGGGGGTAAAGTCTACGACATCATTAAATCAATGTATGTCAATAATAAATGTGGAATAAAAATTGGTAGAGACAGAGGTGCACTTCCTACTGAACTGCCCAAAATATGATTCTATTAGAAATGGATACTTTAACCAATTTGAAAAACAGATAAAGAACTTCAGGACGCTGGGAGATACAGATAAATTAGTGATTATATTAGGAGATATACATATATATATTATCCTTGGTTGCGGACCAAAAATGGACAGAAGGACACAGCAAACATGGATTATGTGAAAGAAACACAGAGTAAAATAGTGAAACACAAAAAAACTCTGCCCCTCGTGTGCTGTACAGACTGGCGTGAGTAGACTGTGTGCACAGTGGGGCTGGTGTGCTGTACAGACTGGCGTGAGTAGACTGTGTGCTCAGTGGGGCTGGTGTGCTGTACAGACTGGCGTGAGTAGACTGTGTGCTCAGTGGGGCTGGTGTGCTGTACAGACTGGCGTGAGTAGACTGTGTGCTCAGTGGGGCTGGTGTGCTGTACAGACTGCATGAGTAGACTGTGTGCTCAGTGGGGCTGGTGTGCTGTACAGACTGGCGTGAGTAGACTGTGTGCTCAGTGGGGCTGGTGTGCTGTACAGACTGGCGTGAGTAGACTGTGTGCTCAGTGGGGCTGGTGTGCTGTACAGACTGGCGTGAGTAGACTGTGTGCTCAGTGGGGCTGGTGTGCTGTACAGACTGGCGTGAGTAGACTGTGTGCTCAGTGGGGCTGGTGTGCTGTGTAGGCTGGTGTGAGTAGACTGTGTGCTCAGTGGGGCTGGTGTGCTGTGTAGGCTGGTGTGAGTAGACTGTGTGCTCAGTGGGGCTGGTGTGCTGTGTAGGCTGGCGTGAGTAGACTGTGTGCTCAGTGGGGCTGGTGTGCTGTGTAGGCTGGCGTGAGTAGACTGTGTGCTCAGTGGGGCTGGTGTGCTGTGTAGGCTGGCGTGAGTAGACTGTGTGCTCAGTGGGGCTGGTGTGTTGTGTAGGCTGGTGTGAGTAGACTGTGTGCTCAGTGGGGCTGGTGTGCTGTACAGACTGGCGTGAGTAGACTGTGTGCTCAGAGGGGCTGGTGTGCTGTACAGACTGCCGTGAGTAGACTGTGTGCTCAGTGGGGATGGTGTGCTGTGTAGACTGTGTGCTCAGTGGGGCTGGTGTGCTGTGTAGACTGGCGTGAGTAGACTGTGCTCAGTGGGGCTGGTGTGCTGTGTAGGCTGGCATAAGAAAACTGTGTGCTCAGTGGGGCTGGTGTGCTGTGTAGGCTGGCATGAGTAGACTGTGTGCTCAGTGGGGCTGGTGTGCTGTGTAGACTGGTGTGAGTAGACTGTGTGCTCAGTGGGGCTGGTGTGCTGTGTAGGCTGGCGTGAGTAGACTGTGTGCTCAGTGGGGCTGGTGTGCTGTGTAGGCTGGCGTGAGTAGACTGTGTGCTCAGTGGGGCTGGTGTGCTGTGTAGGCTGGCGTGAGTAGACTGTGTGCTCAGTGGGGCTGGTGTGCTGTGTAGGCTGGCGTGAGTAGACTGTGTGCTCAGTGGGGCTGGTGTGCTGTGCAGACTGGCGTGAGTAGACTGTGCTCAGTGGGGCTGGTGTGCTGTACAGACTGGCATGAGTAGACTGTGCTCAGTGGGGCTGGTGTGCTGTGTAGACTGGCGTGAGTAGACTATGTGCTCAGTGGGGCTGGTGTGCTGTGTAGGCTGGCGTGAGTAGACTGTGTGCTCAGTGGGGCTGGTGTGCTGTACAGACTGGCGTGAGTAGACTGTGTGCTCAGTGGGGCTGGTGTGTTATACAGGCTGTGATGAGTAGACTGTGTGCTCAGTGGGGCTGGTGTGCTATGTAGGCTGGCGTGAGTAGACTGTGTGCTCAGTAGGGCTGGTGTGCTGTGTAGGCTGGCGTGAGTAGACTGTGTGCTCAGTGGGGCTGGTGTGCTGTGTAGGCTGGCGTGAGTAGACTGTGTGCTCAGTGGGGCTGGTGTGCTGTGTAGGCGGGCGTGAGTAGACTGTGTGCTCAGTAGGGCTGGTGTGCTATGTAGGCTGGCGTGAGTAGACTGTGTGCTCAGTAGGGCTGGTGTGCTATGTAGGCTGGTGTGAGTAGACTGTGTGCACAGTGGGGCTGGTGTGCTATGTAGGCTGGTGTGAGTAGACTGTGTGCACAGTGGGGCTGGTGTGCTGTACAGACTGGTTTGAGTAGACTGTGTGCTTAGTGGGGCTGGTGTGCTGTACAGACTGGTTTGAGTAGACTGTGTGCTCAGTGGGGCTGGTGTGCTGTGTAGGCTGGCATGAGTAGACTGTGTGCACAGTGGGGCTGGTGTGCTGTGTAGGCTGGCGTGAGTAGACTGTGTGCTCAGTGGGGCTGGTGTGCTGTACAGACTGGTTTGAGTAGACTGTGTGCTCAGTGGGGCTGCTGTGCTGTGTAGGCTGGCGTGAGTAGACTGTGTGCACAGTGGGGCTGGTGTGCTGTGTAGGCTGGCCTGAGTAGACTGTGTGCACAGTGGGGCTGGTGTGCTGTGTAGGCTGGCGTGAGTAGACTGTGTGCTCAGTGGGGCTGGTGTGCTGTGTAGGCTGGCGTGAGTAGACTGTGTGCTCAGTGGGGCTGGTGTGCTGTGTAGGCTGGCATGAGTAGACTGTGTGCTCAGTGGGGCTGGTGTGCTGTGTAGGCTGGCATGAGTAGACTGTGTGCTCAGTGGGGCTGGTGTGCTGTGTAGACTGGTGTGAGTAGACTGTGTGCTCAGTGGGGCTGGTGTGCTGTACAGACTGGCATGCGTACACTGTGTGCTCAGTGGGGCTGGTGTGCTGTGTAGGCTGGCGTGAGTAGACTGTGTGCTCAGTGGGGCTGGTGTGCTGTACAGACTGGCATGAGTAGACTGTGTGCTCAGTGGGGCTGGTGTGCTGTGTAGGCTGGCGTGAGTAGACTGTGTGCTCAGTGGGGCTGGTGTGCTGTGTAGGCTGGCGTGAGTAGACTGTGTGCTCAGTGGGGCTGGTGTGCTGTGCAGACTGGCGTGAGTAGACTGTGCTCAGTGGGGCTGGTGTGCTGTGTAGACTGGCGTGAGTAGACTGTGTGCTCAGTGGGGCTGGTGTGCTGTGTAGGCTGGCGTGAGTAGACTGTGTGCTCAGTGGGGCTGGTGTGCTGTACAGACTGGCGTGAGTAGACTGTGTGCTCAGTGGGGCTGGTGTGTTATACAGGCTGTGATGAGTAGACTGTGTGCTCAGTGGGGCTGGTGTGCTGTGTAGGCTGGCGTGAGTAGACTGTGTGCTCAGTGGGGCTGGTGTGCTGTACAGACTGGTGTGAGTAGACTGTGTGCTCAGTGGGGCTGGTGTGCTGTGTAGACTGGCGTGAGTAGACTGTGTGTTCAGTGGGGCTGGTGTGCTGTGTAGGCTGGCGTGAGTAGACTGTGTGCTCAGTGGGGCTGGTGTGCTGTGTAGGCTGGCGTGAGTAGACTGTGTGCTCAGTGGGGCTGGTGTGCTGTGTAGGCAGGCGTGACTGTGTGCTCAGTGGGGCTGGTGTGCTGTGTAGGCTGGTGTGAGTAGACTGTGTACTCAGTGGGGCTGGTGTGCTGTGTAGGCTGGCGTGAGTAGACTGTGTGCTCAGTGGGGCTGGTGTGCTGTGTAGACTGGCGTGAGTAGACTGTGTGCTCAGTGGGGCTGGTGTGCTGTGTAGACTGGCGTGAGTAGACTGTGTGCTCAGTGGGGCTGGTGTGCTGTGTAGGCTGGCGTGAGTAGACTGTGTGCTCAGTGGGGCTGGTGTGCTGTGTAGGCTGGCGTGAGTAGACTGTGTGCTCAGTGGGGCTGGTGTGCTGTAAAGACTGGTGTGAGTAGACTGTGTGCTCAGTGGGGCTGGTGTGCTGTGGAGGCTGGCGTGAGTAGACTGTGTGCTCAGTGGGGCTGGTGTGCTGTGTAGGCTGGCATGC